CTGTTCTTCCAGACAAATTCTCCCATTTTCAGACATCAAATAGACAGGGATGAACTATTTTTCAATACGACCAGGTAGCTCTTCTTTTTCGTCAAATCCCACACAACCAAGATATTTGTTCAGATATAGTAGCATCAGTACACACACACATAAGACCTGGGATTGCACCACAATGATAGATCTAACTAAAAGCATATATTCGAGCGCGGCACATTCGATAAATATTTTACAAGAAAAAAGGAGCAAGCTTGAAATTCTGCTGCCAAGAATTTACTGTCACCGGTCGGCAGCAACAGCAGCCACAATGAGAACACTAGATAGCTACCGGCGACATCAAATGGCCGGCTGCTCTCTCCCATGCCACGGCCCCAGCTCCGGCAGGAAAGCATTGATATATCTAACTAAAAGCATATATTCGAGCACGGCACATTCGACAAACATTTTACAGGAACGAAGGACAAGCTTGAAATTCTGTTGCCAGGAATTTAATGTCACCAGTGGACGGTAACAGCAGCTACAATGAACACGTTAGGTTGCTACCGGTGAAATCAGCTCTCTCCATGCCAGGGCCCAGCTCCGGCATGAACGCAACCGTTAAGTCGCACATATGAATTTTCCTGGGGCAAATTCACAGGTGCAGGGCCCAACAGAAATTCCCAATCACCAAGTTTTGGATCGGAAATAAATAAACTAACAAGCTGAACAATGATGAGTGCCACAAAAAACAACTGGTTTGTACCAGCCGTTGTGTATTCAGCGAGATGAGATGGTTGTCTGGACAGGCAGATCCTATTTGGCGCGTCCCGCGCGCGAGCGAGGTAGCTCGTACCCCTCATTCTTTCGACTTTCATCCAATCAGGTAACCTTCCCTGAACCGGTTTTTGTTTTTCTTTCGATTTTTTCTTCCTTTTTATTTTTTCCATATTCAGTGATGTTTATTTTCATTTTATTTTTCATTTTTATTTTATTTTTCAATTTGCCAAAATATTTTAAACTCGTAATCTTTTTTTTAAATCGTGAATATTTTCTAAAATCATGAACACTTTTTAAATTCCTGAACTTTTTTTTATTCATCAGATCAAAAAAGTGTTCAAAAATTTAGAAAATGTTCATTGAATTCAAATTTCCTTCATCGAATTTAAAAAGTATGCATCAAATTCAATGAAATGATCATTGGAAAAAAACATCAAAGTCAAAATTTGTTCATCTATTTTTCAAAAAATATTCATCAAATTCTAAATTTGTTCATTGATTTTTTAACACGTGTTCATTGAATGCAAAGTTTGTTCAACCATTTCTAAAAAGACAATGTTCTTAAGTACAATATTTGATCATCAAGTTCAAAAAATCTTCATCGAATTTTGAATTAGCAAATATTTTTCTTAAAATCGATGATTTTTTTTAATTCATGAACATTGTTTCAATACGCGAACATTTCTGTTCGAAATCATGAACATTTCTTTAACAATGAACATGTTATCATTTCGGAAATATTTTTCCTAAAATTATTTTCCCCCTTAAATTCTAAACTTTTTTGATATTGTGAATTGTTTTAAAGAAGAAAAACCATAAAAAAAATAAGGAATAAAAAAACCAGGGTGCCCAACCCAGTTATGGGCTGGCTCATGAGGGGCGCGCGGGAGGGGTGTGGGTGAGCGCTGGTATGTTGGCCAGCGCCCCACGCGCCCAATAGGTGGTCCCCGCCTCTGGACATGCCACCAGTCAGTAAAGAACATGCATGTGTGTTGGGCTCTGAGGATTTTCAGACAGATGGCTTGGTAATAGTATGTTGAGTTGTCGCATCAGAAGCTATTGCACTGCCAGGATCAATCTGGATGATTAACTCCTCGTATGTCTATTTGCATGGCATTTTTCTTTGAACGTGGCAAATGAACATCCCCAAAAACTGATTTATATAAGACTATATCATGGCAACTTGTATTATTATTATGATGCCATTTCGTGTTGTTTTAATACACTATGACACATGTATTGTGACATACCAATGGCAAATGTGTTGTATTTAGTATACTAGACCATGATGGCGCGCGTTGCCGCGCCCGTCTATTTTGACAATAAAATGATCGTGATATTCCTAAAATATAAGGAGGCACAAAAAGCATGAAAGTAAAATTTATCTGAACTAATATATAGTTATTAGCATACAAGTACATTTGCCTGACCCATATATGTATTCCTTAGTAATTGAAGACTTGCAAACAAAATAGCATACAGAGCAGAAAACTTTCAATTATGTCCAATAAAGTGACTAAGGTGGTGGTGTGATGTAGTTTTGATGACCCACCCAAAGTCTTCTCAGAATATGAGGGCGACCTATAGTATTTCATCAACATAAAGTGTTTAGCAATTTGGATTTTCTAAAAGATATTGTGTACATATATCCACATAGAGATCGTATATGTGTAGGATGTGGATTTTTACATGGCAGGTATTTACTTGAACAACACCTTCCTTGTAAGAGATTTATTTCCGTGAGCTGCATGCACCCATTCCCTGCAAATAACTTTGTAAAATATAATTATGTTTATGTTTTTTGTATATGCCACTTCCTAATAATTATGTGGCTGCTACTCCCTAGTACCCAATTAGTTGGCAGATACCGTTATCCCCAACTTGCTTCAGGCACAATTAGGGATAATGAGACTGCAAGAATCTCTGATCTACTCAAGGAATGGCATGCACAAATCCAGAAGATTAGCCGTATACAGAAAAAAGCTCGGCGTGCTATGGCAGCATTTGGCCGTGGACATAAGAGAACGATGTGTTGGCATGCAAATGTACCATAGGAGATTAGCATTTTCATTAGCGATGATTGTAAAACTGTTATCACTTAATGAAAAAAGTGCTTTCCCCCTGTAAAAAAAGAGAGGAAAAACCTATAGCAAAGAAGATACCAATGCAATTTCGTGGAGAAACAGCCCAGAGAAGTTGTACTCATACTACCTGCAACAAATGACAGCGAAAAATATATTCAATCAAATAACAATAGGGTGGAGGAGGGGTTGTCCACACGGAACTGAAAGCACATCCAACGGCCACAAACGCCCAATAATGTAGATCCAACTATTAGCGCCCGTCCTTCTTTCAATTAGAATGGATTGGACTTGCATAAATATATAGAAACATGAAACATATAGGTAAAAGTTGTGTAAAACAACCGACATATCGACAAAAAGGTAACTTCGTAGCAAAATAAAAATAAGTATGTACCCCTATTTTGATTTTGTTTGAATTCTACATTGTGGACCAACAGATAAATCTAGGCGATTAGCTTGATTTGCAAGAAGAGCAGTAAATAGCATAAAACTACTAGTTTACACCTAGGGTTCCAAAAAAACTACCACTTTTTAAATTTTTTCAGAAACCTACCAGGCGCGCGGTCCGCTGTTTCAAAAAACCCAAAACGCCCGTGACTAGCGATTTAACCGTTTTTCTGACGTGCTGGGCCCACCTGTCAGCCCATGTAGCCCAACGCGTGGACGGCGCAGCCGTTGACGGCCGTTAGGCAGGCCGGTTCGGTCGGAACTTGGGTAAATACCCCCTCGGTCGGTCGGGCGCACCCTGCTCGCTCACTCTCTCCTTCTCGCTCTCACTCCCCTGCTCCATTACGAGCTCGCCGCCGCTCGCTATCTTCGAGGACGGTCGCCGTCGACCTCCTTGCCGCAATGCCTTCCTGGAACGACGAGGAAACAAGCTCCGAGGAGGAGTGCAAGGTCGTCAGCATGGACATGGGACTTATAGTAAGTTTTTCTTTGCCACCTAGGGTTAGGGTTAGGTGCTAGTAGGCCTAGGCAACAACCATGGATCTTTCTGAGTGTAGTGTTGTTGTTGTCTCCGTGATATTGATCTTGCTTAGGGTGGGGTTTGATTGTAGGATTGAGGTAACACCTAGGGTTCATCTCTGTACAATGTTAGGGTTCATGCTGATTTGGGGATTTTTTAGTGTTTAGGGTTAATGAATGCAAGTTGGTTGTGGTATCGAGTGCAGATTGAAACCAGTGTTCTGTTGGTCATTTTGGTTGCAGGAGGAACCATACACCATTGTGAAGCCCCTTTTCTATGGCCAACTTGAGCTTGCTCAACCCAAGTGCATTCTGCACCAAATGAGGCCTATTAAGCGCGTTGCTTTTGAAGGCATTGTGACAGGAAGGCATTTCTATGGCTGCCCAATCCAGGTTAGATGTCAATTAAGTTTCCTGCTATGGATGTTGACTGATGTTGATATGATGCAGCAGTTTGTTGCTTTGGAAACTCAATCATGGCATTGTAATAACTTATCATATCTCATTTATGTTATTCATTGTTAGAAATATCAAGTTTATCAAGTTAATCATGGAATTGAAATAAGCTACTAGTCCACTTCTATTAACTTATCATAATTACAAATGCAGGAAAATGGTGTGAATTGTGGTGTTGTAGAGTGGGTTGATGGGCCTTGGCCTCCTGTTCTTCAGAGATGTCTGTCCAAGCTATGGGAAATGTTCCATGAGCAGAACTGTGGAAGGGTACTTGACAAGGAGAAGTTTGAGAAGGAGTTGGCCAAGCTTAAGTGTGAACATGAAAGGGAGTTGGCCAAGCTTAAGATGGAAAATGACAAGCTTTGCATTGAGTACACCAGGCTTGTTGATGATGTATCCAAGATGTTTGATTGGCGGGATGGTAGGGTGGACAAGAAGGTGTACCAGAAACAAGTGGAGGAGGAAGAACTTGAGAAGAAGAAGAAGGAGGAGCTAGAGGAGAAAGCTATGTTGGAGGTGCAGATGGAAAATCTTAAACTTGCAAAAGAGCAGAGGTGCATTTTGCAGAGCCAAGCTGATATCATCAAGAACACCAGGAAGGCTATGAAGGATGTTGAAGTTGACATAGATGTTCTTAAGAAGGAGAAGGCAAAGATTGAGCTTGTTGTTGCCGAGTCGCTGAAAGATGGGTATGGCAGCAAGGAGAAGTTAGAGAAAATCAAGGCCATCCTTGAGTCATGAATTTGCTGTGATATGTTGGTGAAGTAAGTACATCCAAGGCCTATATATAAGGACGTGGCCTAACAGTCTGAAGTGATTATGGGTGGTACATTTTGGGGGAATGTGAAGTTAACCTAGTGTTTGGCCACGCATTTGAACTTTAGTTTCTTATGTAAGAACCTTATTTCATATGTTCTTAAGTAAGTTGTAATGGATCTCCTATGCTATTAAGTGTTGTAATGGATCTCCTATGCTATTAAGTAGTGGAAATGGATCTCTTATGCCACTAAGTAGTGGAAATGGAACTTCTATTAAGTGTTCAAATTGATCTTCTATGTTATGTGTTAGCCTACATATATTATTTGTGTGGGTAATTGGGCTTAGTGGCCCACTAGTCTCTAACCAAATGCAACCCTAGGCCTACTAAAACCCAACCGCACCCATCTGTCAATATAAACCTCTCCCCACCCCCACCCTTTCCCATTGACTCCACCAGCCGCCACCCAAAAGAAACCCTAGAGATGGATCCTGACATGGGAGATGTCACAGAGGAGGAGCGAGAGGCTGTGGAGGTTAGGGAAGCAGCAGCACAGAGGAGGAGGAGGAGGAGGCACAGACACAGGGCACTTGAGGAGGCCCAGGATGAGCAGCAATAGGAGTTCAACCGCCGACTCTCCGACAAGGTACTGGAGAAATGCAATGATAAAGAACTGGAGCTGGTTTTCACTGGTGGCGGGGGAAGGACGTTCATGCAGATCATTAGCTGGGCAAGGATGAGGGCAGTCATGGCTCCCCATCCAGCTACTAGGGTCAAGTGGGTTCGTTTATTCGAGCGTTACGACTGATGAATCTATGTATCTACCTGTCTATCTATCTTTCTATCTGCAAGTCTATGTGAGAGAGAGTTGTGGTACTATTTGTGAGATTTTGATGACTATCTTTCTATCTAGGGAAAACTTTGTTTTTGCCACTCTAGCTTTTGCCAATTTTGCTTATGCCACTCTAAAATTTGACATCTCATTTTTGCCACTCTTTTTTGCCAATGTATCACAAATGCCATTCTGTAAGGTCAAGGCACATTTTGACCAAACGAAGCAGGGCAAAGACAATATTGCCCTTGGTTTTTTGTTTTGCTTTTGGCACTACAGTTTTCATAGAAATTTTACTGATACCTGACAAACACAGCAGATGCGTTGATTCAACTGAGTTCATCTGCTAATAAGAAAAAAATTGCAAACATATAAAGCAGCGACGCATCCATTCATACATCTTCGATTCACCACACTTTCACACACATACATTAGGCGTGCAAGGCACAACACATACATATGCATCTTCATCTCTCCAATTCAGCGAAATTCCACGCGAATCAACATCAAGCACGCACAAAGCACAATACATATGCATCTCCAATTCACCACATGTGTAGATCAACTAGCAAGCAAACCTGGAGGGCAGTGGAGCTACCGCGTCGAGGACGGATGGGGGCACTGATTGGAGGCAGCGCCATGGATGGAGGGGAGTACATCTCAGCCATGGAGAAGAGCAACGGGAGATGGAAACGGCTTGGGCTCATTCACGGTCGCGAGCGCCGCCTCCTTGATGCACGGAGCTCGGGAGGATGCATATGGCCGCGAGCACCGCCACACACTGGTGACGAGGCAGAGGCATGCACCCAGTCGGTGCTGGTGACGAGGCGGAGTCTGGAGGTGTATAGCTGGCGTTGGTGATGATAGAGGCGCGCAGGCCCATGGGGTCCCAGATCCCGGGTGAGCAGGGACTGCATCCCCGTCCCAGATGAGAGGAGGTAGGGGAGGACGGGAGGTGGGTTGCTGCCAGCGCTTTAGAACAAGTAGAGCAGCGCGGATCGAGGAGATAGGCCTCGAAGGCGAGCTCCTCCACAAGGAGCGCATGCGGCCGCCAGGCCTCGCACGCAACCAGGCAGCAGCTCCAGTAGGGGCCGCGCCGGACGACAGGGGTGGAGCGTCGCGGGACGGGATGGAGGCGGCTCGCTGCGGTGGCGCGCGGGGACACGGCCGGAGGTGGCAACGCGGTGGCCGGAGGTGGCGGCGGTGACTGGATGCGGGTGTGTGTGGTGTGCGGTTAGGAGCTAGGATGGCTGGACAGGTGTGTGTACAGATTAGGGTCTGGGTCACTTCCAAAATGGCCCCACAAGTCAGTAGGGGCAACTTATGTCATTTATGCAAATATTGACAGGTTTTTCCTGGGTCAACAGGGTAGAAGAAACGGTCAACTAACGGAAGTGTAACAGAATGGCATTTGTGATACATTGTCAAAAACTAAGAGTGGCAAAAATGAAATGTCAAATTTTAAAGTGGCGTAAGCAAAATTGGCAAACACTAGAGTGGCAAAAACAAACTTTTCCCTTCTATCTATGTAACATTTGGATGTTTCTGAATCAATGTAATGCATTTGGTCAGTGACTATGAATATCTCAATTTCTCTCAATCAGCACCATCAATTTCTCTGAATCAGCAGCACTTGGTTAGGGACTATGTATATATGAATGTATGCTAAATGTTGTGACGATGCAGATAAATTGAAGTTGCAGACAAGTGCTGAATCCACATAAAGTATCATATTACAAACCAAATCAAATCCAACAATATCAAGTACTTAGATAAGCAGTGTTATTACAAACCAAATCGAACAGTTCACTTGCATACATAACCTAGGATAACATAGGAGTTCAACCACTTCAGCTAGTTACCACTTGCATAAAAGTAATCTTTCAGCCTCCCAGATGGCTTCCTGACCCTCTTTGACCCATCCTGCACACATATGCCAAGCTTTTAGGCATATGGACACCAAACTTCTTCTTTGTGTATGACATAATTGTGTCAACACCAGCTCCAGGGTTGGATCTTACTGTATCCTCACAAACCTTAGCAATCCAACTGACTGTCACAAGTGTGATCCAGGTTCATCTTCTTGATACTGAAAGCTGCCTTATGAGATATCCTAGAGGCAACTATGTAAAACTCACAACCATATTTTCTCTCAGAACACCAAGCAATAACCCTAGTTGGTTCATTTCTGTGATACTCAAAATTCCTAAGAGTCCTCACATGAAAATTTCTAAGTGCTTCTCTGAACCGAACTACATTTTCAAAGCACAAATGCATTGAAAACTGCTCATGTGCATCGGGCCTGGATGGATCATACCATCTTCTCTCCTTCTTATGCTTCTTCCTACTCTTCCTTCCACATGGCAGCCTTGGAGCATCCTCTTCATCACTTAGGCCAAAATCACCTGGAAAACAGTACTCATCAGCTTCAGGGACATAATCTTCAAACTTGATGTGCTCAGGCTCACTGTGAGACTTGCTAGTTGGGCCAGGTTTTCTAACTGGCTTAAGCTTTTTGGCTCCTTTTGTAGTTAGAGCAGCAGGATACTTTGCTTGTTCATCTTCAGAAACAATTTGTTCTTCCTGCCAAAACTCGGAAGGTTCTGAGTTAGCTCCACAAAAGTGCTCTGCAGTATTAGTGACAGCCTCATCTTCACCCCTACACCAAGCTTTGTAAGAAATTTTCTCTCCTCTGTAATCACCCCTTAAGAACTCAAAATCTGAAGATGATTTGTCATCTTCAACTTCATCTTCTTCTTCTGGTACTTCTTCTTCTGGTACTTCTTCTTCTTCTTCTTCTTCTTCTTCTTCTTCACTTGCTTGTTCTTCTTCATCTACTTCTTCTTCTTCTACATCTTCTTCTTCCACAACTATTTTCCCCTTGTTCAAATTGCTGATTTGCTGTGTGTTCATGTAGGGCTCATCAGGGGTTACAGCTAGCAAACTAGCATTAGTGGCAGGGTACAAAACACCTTCTTGTGAAACTATGTAAACAACATGTTCACCAACATGATCAATGGGGATTTGTTCCTCAAGCATGATGTGGTCCATATTAACATCTGTTGGGCTAGGATTAGTAGCTTTTCTGATAGTGATGTTCAGTACCTTCTTATCAACAAATAAGTCAACCATTTTCTCTAATGCCTCCTCACTATCCAGGGCCTCCACCCCCTCCAGCCCCTTTCCCTCTTCCTTTACATAAGTCAGAAAAGCATCCATTCATAGCCCTCCAACTCAACCAATGCTAATATGGTCAGATAACTGATATCTGAAGAAACTGAATACTTTCTCTCCATATTATCTGTTCCTTGAAAATGTAGCCTCTCCCAAATCTCATCATCTAAGCTGTAGGATTAAATTGACAAACAATTATTTATTAAGTCATTGAAACTTAAAACAATGACCAAATGCACTGCACATTACTGAACTTTCTTCTAATTACAGTGAATGCACTGACCAAATGAACTAACCAAATGCACTAACCAAATGCACTATCTTCTACAGTGACATAGCCAATAAAATACAGTACCCTGCCAAGAACAATCAAGTACTAACTCTAGTTCTAATTTGAACTAAACGTATGAAGGGCCCAGAAATTTCTTACCTCACTCCACCAAAGGACGACACCCAACTGTGGCCGCCATATGGATCCGCCTGGATGCACTTTGCCACTGCCCTAGCCGCGCGGACTGCTGGATCTGAGCTCGCCGGATCAACCTGAGCCGCGGGCGGGGATGGCTGCTGCGACCGCTGCACCGGGAAGCTCGAGCTGCCTCCATTGACGCCTTAGATCAATAGCTCGCCGCCGCCCTCCTGGCCGGTGTTGCCTTGGCTCAATAGCTCCCCGCCGATGGCATTTGGCTGCGCCACCGCCGCCATCGCCCACCTAGGTCACTGCGGGGGAGAGGAGGGGGAGAGTGCGGCCCGACCGCCTACTTTGGTTCCGACTGGACCGGCCGCCTTAACGGCCGGTAACCGCTGCGCCATCCACGCACTGGGCCACGTGGGCTGACAGGTGGGCCCAATCTGTCAGGAAAACGGTTAAATCGCTAGTCACTGCAGGTTTGGGTTTTTTGAAACAGCCGACCGCTCGTTTGGTAGTTTTCTGAGAAAATTTAAAAAGTGATAGTTTTTTGGAACCCTAACCTGTAA